TTTTTGTTTTATATAAATGACAGAAAATTTTATTCTTTTTGTAAAAAAGCTTCAAAATTTAATACAAAACTCCTAATATATTGTTCTTCATGCGTTTTTCTAAATTTATCAAATACGACATTTTTATCGGAAAGTTAAATTCAATTTTTATGAGCATTTAAATTACAACATTGGATATTCACTCAATTTCTCAGGTAACAATTTTCTTATTTTGTTTTAATTCAAAAACAAATGACTGTAGAAATTTGAAATTTACACCATACTTTTATTTTATTAATTCCTATACTTGATAAAATATCAAAAACATTTCAAATATTTTTAAGTTATCTATAAACATTTGAAATTTTTGGTTTTTTTAGTTTTTTATCCCATATGTCAATAAATTTTATTCTTGTGTCAAAAATTTTAAAACAAGGTTCCACATGAGTATTTAATTTTGTAACGAAGAAATACAAAAGCTATATATACACGGTTTTTTTTTTTTAGTTATTTTAAGTTCAATTTGGATGAAATTACATATTAAATAACCAAGAATAACAATTTTAGCTATATTATTGTAATTTAAAAATATTATTCGTGGGTACTTAAAATTTCTAAGTTTTATATTCTTATTATAATAGATAAATAGGTAATGTTATTAATGACTGAGTGAGTCGGGTACATAATGAATCTGATTTGATTAATTTAGAATTTATTTTATATAGATCCCTAACTTTTTTTTTTTAAATAATAACATAATTAATATAGTTTAAAACTATACATTTTTATAGACTGACAAACCGTCTCCACTCAGATTCGTATTTCGTATAGATACAATGATAATATATCATAGAATTCAATTTTTTTTTGTTTTTATTGATCTGAAATATACATCGACAACTAGGCCAATAGTACACGAATTTTTGATTACATTGTTAGTATTTTAGTATTTACATGATTACATTAAATTAATTTGTACAATTCTGTTTTTTTTTTAAGAATAAGATTAAGCTTTTAACGTCCTGTGGGTTTGGTTCTAGTGCTAGACAAATTTGTTCAAAATTCAAATTTAATACCACAAATTATAGTAACTCACTTGTAAACTACAGTACCTACACAGTGCGACATCCACTTACCCATTTTTTTACCTTGTTCCTGTAGTAACAGCTCCTATTTATATAAGCATATGTAATATACCTATTTACTTTTTTCAATATTTATCAAAGTATTGTATAATTATTTCATTTAAAATTTCTTATTTACACATTAGGATATAGTGATCAGTACTGTTGTAGATTTTCCACAACCGGTATCTAAAAAAATGTTATTCCATTGGGTTCAATTGATGTCATCAAGTAAGTAGAAACTTTATATTGAACTACATAACATTAATAGATAGGTATTTATAAATATTTGTATTTTTAACAGCTAAAAATCAGTATTTCTGATAATACTTTAAAAAAACATTTACTATTCAACTAATTAATGATAAAAAAAAAACCAACCTTCATTCTACAATAATGTTTAAAAGTTGATTTCCTTTTTTTTTAGTTGGAAAATAAATCAAATAAAACCCTCAATATATATTTATTTAGTTTTGTTGAAATATTTATAATATTTATAATTTGTTGTAATAACTATTGTACTAAACATTTATGATAAACTATCATTTTATAATTTTAGAAAGATTTTGTAAATATGACTATGGAGTGAATGGAAATATGCAATATTACAACATGAAATCACCGCCAGATTATAATTTGAACAAAGTTACTTCTCCGGTTTACATTTTACACTCAAAAAATGATCATTTATCTGCAACAAAGGTATTTATTTGTACATATTTGTATAAAAAGGCATTAGTGGTGACCTAATTTTACCAAACTATTTCATTGTCATACACTATAGAATGTAGTTGTATTAAGATTGTTTTATTGTTTGGGCTTACTAATCATTTAAAATTTTTGCGAATATTATTATAGGACGTTAATTGGTTGAGAAGCAAACTGCCGAATGTAAAAGACGTCTACTACATCAATAGCATAAAGTTCGGGCATCTAAGTTTTGTGATGCATGAAAACATCGACCGGCTTGTAAATAGTAAAATTAAAAATGCATTGTTAACAAATGCATTCAATTAAAAATTAGAATATAATTTCGTAAAATAGTATTTCAGTATTTATTATAGAATTTTTATTAAATATTGTTGATTTTGTTACATATTAAAACGATATTGTACGAATAATTCAATAATACAATAAATACTTATGTAACTATTAATAATTTTATTTATTGTGTAACTCAAAAGTGCATTATGCTTTTATATGAATACGTTACATGTAAAATATTATATAATGTACATTCTTATTGATAATTTATGTTAAAACAATAAATACAAATTTGCGATTTAATTTTACCTATGTATTTTTTCTCTGATTTAGACATTTAGTCTAGAAAATAAACTTATTTAATAATCATTCAATGAGTATAAAAGGTTAAAGTCTATCATGGGTTATATAACTTTTTACATATATTACACGAATCGTAATTKATTTCGAAAAACATTATTTATGAATTATGTTCGATTATACTGATCATAAACCATACTATTACGGGCAATAAAATTATATTTAAATAGAATTTTTTTGTTCTAAATTATTTTACCTATATTATGTATCTATGTATTTGTTTATTTATTTTAAGAATAGTCAACGTTTTATTTGATAAAAATTATTATATATTATTATTATTACTTAAATTTAGGTAATTAATTATTATTTATAAGCTAAATTTATACGTTATAAATACACGTTACATTTTAAAATTCTATATAGTAGTAATTATATAGGTACTTATGAGTTATGTTTCGTGTCGTTCAACTTTTATGATTAAAAATGTCAAACATCAGATTGTAATAAATTGTATGCTCCTAAATATATAACAATAAAACTATTTTTTTTTATTGATCAAATAAAAACTCGGCAGCTATGTGGCCATTAGTTACAGTAATGTTATATTTGCAAGTTTTAAGATTTTAACAGCATTTTTTTAAAGGGTTACAATAACAGTATGGGCTCTTAATATTTATAAACAAAACAACAACAAAAAAGGAGTAAAACAATTGTAAATTATTAAATTATATTATATATTATAAAGGCCTGTTGACTTCAAAAAAAGAATCATCTTTTTGTTCTCCACAGCATTGGGTCCCAATGCGATGTCGAGGGTCGTATCCAACCCGGTGTTCTGTCGTTCTTGTTGGYATTTTAGGCATTCTGTTATGATGTGTTTCACTGATATTTGGACACCACAGACTTCGCATGAGGTATAAAACAATTTATATATATTATAAGCCATAAGGTATACGCTATCAGCCATACGAAAATGGACAACAATTGTAAAATTGAATTCGAAAAGGATTGACGAATRTGAAATGATCAAATAGACATTCAAATAGTTGTTAATACCTAAAGCCTTTATAGTTTTWTACCTTCATTAGTTATATGTCATGTTCTTTAATCATATATAGGTAATATCATAGGCGTGTCCACGGGGGATGCAGGGTATGCACCTGCACACTCTGCGATTTCAAGTGGCACCATGAATTAAGAAAAATTGTTCAAAAAAGGGGGCTAGGGCCCATTAGCCCCTTGGGTACGCACCAGGTTGCACCCTCTGCGTCAAAGGTCTAGACACGCCTATGGGTAATATAATATTATAATCTGTTTGATTCATATAATTCATTCAATTCTAACGTAAAAATTGTTGGTAGTACATTTTTATTGAATTTCTGTAAAGAAAAACACACAATTGTGGGTAAACCGACGACTGGGTCTTTTAAATCTTTATATAGATGTTATCTATATCTATGATGTAATTTATTGAAAAAGGTATAGTGAATTTTTTTTCAATTTTTTTATGATAATAAAAAT